ACAGAAATAAATAATTAACTGAGCTGAGTGGGAAGGGAGAAAAATTGAAGTAATTTCCCTTTACCTGCAAAACAAGCAACAGTGAAGATATGCTTCCATTACTCAGACCTATCTTCAAATTATGCTGGTCTCCAGGACCTTCCTGGATGCCCTGAGGAGCTGCAGGGCAGAGGGCCCCAGTGAGGTCCTCCAACTCTCCCTTTCTTGCAGGACTCGCGGTTTAGACCTATCAAGGATTATGAAAAGGACTTTTCAAGGAGAAAAGGACCACATGAGGACTTTTGGCAGAAAAAAATCATCCAGTCTCCTGCTCTTCCTCAGACTTCCCCTCTGGATCTGGTGATGTCAAGTCTAGTGATCTCCCTCTTCCTATTTAGTGAAGCAAGGATCTGAGTAAAGCCTTTCTGAGTGCATAAAGCTTCCCCCTCCCCTGTAATGGCCAGGCACTTTGCCATCCTTAATTTATCCTCAGCAACATCCCCGTTGAACAGAGAATTATTTTGCGAAAGCACAGGAAGACTTTGTGACCCACAGAAAATCATGTGGTAGATCAGGGAACTGAACCCAGACACCAGAAAAAAAATCACACACAGCAACAGTCTAGCCTCTGTCCCATTTTCCTTCCAGACTTTGCTCATCTTTTCTGTTTTGAGTAGTTGTAGGAGTTAAAATGGGCATGCCTGATCACAGTGGACAAACCACAGGAACACAGTGGATAGAAAATCCTCTTTATCATCTGAGGAACAAAATCCACTCCCTTGAGAGCATGATAGTACACAGATAAAGCTATATTTTAAAGGGTATTTATCCAAAGAGTTTTATTTTTTATTATTTCAAAGCCTTAGAGGAAACTAGGGTAAATTAAGGGTTCAAGCATATTCAAGTAACCTGGAAAAGCAAAGGATGAAGACATACCCGGGAGACAAAACCACGTGAATAACTTGTTGGTTAGCCAAACCTCAGTGGAGAATTTGGGTTATACATTTAAACAATTTCCACAAAGCTAGTGTGACTAAGGGTTTTAAGAGCAGGAAGGAGAAAAAGGCAAGCAACTGCAAGAAAAGACAGCACACAGGAGAGACGAGCAAATGTACTTTTATAAAAAAAGAAAAAAAAAAGACAGGAAGTATGATTGACATTTGGAAAATACTCCATTGTCATATTTACTACAGCAACATAAGATGATACAAGTTCAGATCAGCATTGCTTGCCCACATGTAGCCAAAGGAATCAATAAATATACTAAAACTAATAAAAATTGTGAAATAAACAAGGGTATTTCTCATGGGATTTCCTATTTATTTAAACAGGAGCAAGCAGAGTCAGTGACACACAAACTGGGATCATACTGATGCACATCCTAGAGCTCTATTTCCTGTGAAAATATTCCTTTTTATTAAAACAGGACAATTTAGAGAGATAAAAAGATGGTTCTAGGTGGACCAGAAGGTGACTCACCTCGAAGACTGGCTAATCTATCTATAAGTTCTTTTAACAAACAAATCTCTTCTTGTAAAAATATGTGATTCACTGAAAGATAAGCTTAAAGCAGCATTTTTGTTGAATGCTGGTAGCAACTCAGATGAAGCCAACAATAGTTGACCATCCTGTAGTGAAACTATTTTGAACAACAAGCAAAAACTGGACAGTTATGGTTAAACCCTATAAAAAAGAAAAACACTTTTAACAGAGGTGTTTCTGTCCCTAATAATACAGAAACCAGCCTGGACAAGCTTCAGAAAATTGTTTTCAAATACAAACTTGAGCTCATGCTACAGATTAACAGGCATGACTCCTCAACAGAGTCACTTTAACTTCTCTTCAGCTTAAAATTTTTATATAATACATTTTTTTACAGCTTTCAATTTATTTCAGCCTTTCCAAAGCATTATACTATGCAACATCCAATTTCTAAGGGGCCTACTTCTCTATGCGAGGCACTGCTCTAAATTCTTATGAAGCATTTCTGAGAAGAAAGAATGATAATGGGACTATATCAGAAAAAAAATGCCATTATTAAATTTACATCCGTTAATAAAACCAAAAGTCACTATAAAATGCATGTACCCACTTGATAGATATTGATAAAATATTATTTACTGACGTGTTTCAGGCATCACAGAATTCCATATTTTCCTTCACTGGCTCACACACCAAAGACTCTTAAAATTGATTGAAATGTGCCCCCCTGTAGTGCTATCCATCTCAATGATCTTTCATCCCTCTTTTACTGGAGTTTGGTAACACTGGAATTGTCAGAGTATGAACTAGTAGATACCTGAAACCTTGCTTATACTAGTGACAATTATTTTGACTCTCTTTTCCACTTTGCTTTATCTTGCAACTTTGTTTTTGTCAATGCTCCCACATCTGGGCTGTGGATGGTCAGAATGTTTTTTTCCTCAGCCACAAGCAACATGTTGCAGTTCATAAGAAAGCATTCTATGCTTATCAGTAAGCATTCTATGGTTTCTTTACTTTTCTGTTAAGCCATTTATGAAGACAGCATGCCCACAGACTTGTTCATTGCAATGGCATAACATATATCTTCTCTTTACCTTACACTATCCACTTTTATGTAGGGATTCAGTGTCATTCCCTCTGATCCACATCCTGTCACTACATCCCTGCTAGGGCAGAAAAGGTCTTCAGGATGAAACTCATCATATGCACATTTGTGCATTTCCAACACCTAAATCTGGGATCCCACTGTCAGCAGAGCAGAGGTACCCTCTTTCCACCTAAGACCACCACAAAA